ATCCCACCAGGCAGCCCCCACCCCCGGGAACCCGAGCCCGGCACCCACCAACCCTCCCCGGGGGCCGGGGCCGCCCGCAGCCGGCCCTGCATGGCGGGGGGACGGCGCTCAGCCCCGCCGCCGCGCTGCCCCGCCGAGCCGCATCGCTCCTGCCCTTCCCCGGCCGGGCTGGAAGCTGTCACCCCGAGCACCCGTGGGCCTCATCTTTCAGTTTCAGTCCTGCCAGCCTTTCCTCCCCTGGCCGGCGTGGGGGTAAACACCGCGACGGCAGCCGAGGACACAACTTGAAATATTTCAGGGTTGTCCCTGCAGAAACTTTCCCTTCCTTAGAGGGCTCCAAAGGGAGGGGTGCGGGGCGAGGTGGGAGACACCGGGAGATGTCAACATTGAACTTCTTGGCTGACGCCGGCTCCAGGGCTCAGGCTGCGAATCCGGCATCAGCTGGGGTTTGGGTTTTGGGGGTTTTTTTTTTGGTTTGTTTGGTTTTTTTTTCCCGCCGGGCAGAGGACGGGGCGAAGGAGAAATAAGAAAGCGAGCGGGGCTGGGCGCAGCCTCGCCAAACGCACCTCCTGTTTGAAGGGATTTCTTTTAAAAATAATCTAAGATAAGTGGCAGTGGTTTTACAAAGGGGCTTCGAATTAAATTTCTCCTCGAGAATGCTTTGCAAAACTCCCTGCTTATCGGAGGAGAAGAAGGGAGGCTGCTGATTCTGGCGAGGATAAGAAAGCGAGGCAGAGGAATATATTTTGGATACATCGGTGCACAACTCGCTGCTTATCGGAGGAGGAAAGTGTCATTTGGAGATCTTAGGACTAAATCAGCGGCAACCATAGTTTTGAAAAGTCCTGTCTCCGCGCGATCGCAAGGGGCTGGGGAGATTAAACCCACCTATTCCTAGCGAAACTCGCCGCTTCCTTTACTATTATGATTATTATTTAAGAAAAAGTCATTCCTACGGGACAAGAGGGAGAAATATTTAACTGGCGACATCTCCGCGAAACTCACTGCTGTTAGCAGAGCTCCGGAGCCGGCTTTTGGTTGGTGCGGGGGGGAAAGGCGCTGCCCGCGGGGGAGCAGCGGGGCAGGCGGCGGCTGCGCCCCGGGGCGCGGAGCGGGGCGCGGAGCGGGGCGCGGAGCCTGCCTACCTCTGAGCGGCCGTGCTGGCGTCCAGGACGCCGGCTCCCTGCATCCACGTCCGCACCGCGTTCATCCCCGCGCCGAGGGGCTCCTCCTTCATGCTGCTCCCACTCCGCTGGATGCTTTCCTGAATCCCAAACATGAATCAGAAACAAGAGCGCAAATCTTCCTTCTTTACTCAAAAAAAAAAAAAAAAAAGTGATAAAATCGCCAGGCGGACTGTTATATACGCTTTTTTTCTCTTTCTTTCTCTCTTTTTCTCTCTCTCTGCAGCTGATCTCTGGAATCAAAGCAAGTCAGAGAAAGCAAACACAGGCACGCACATTAAAAAAAAAAAAAAAAATCCAGAGGCAATCAGAGCCCGGTTTTGTTGCTGCTGTTTGCTGCGTGTGCACTTTGTTTGGGTGCTTGGAGGGGCTGGCGGGGTGCTGGGGGCTGGTTGCAGCGCTCGCAAGCCGGAGGAGTACTTGAAGTCCCTTTTGTATGAAGACACCCCTCGGATGGCAGCAGGCAAAAAAAAAAAAAA